AATGTTTTAACTATGATTTATTATTATTGACACACACATTCCGTATAGGTTAAGTAGGCTCACAATTAATGTCTTTTGTTGACTCAACCAAATGTACAGAAATATAAGCTGATTAATGCATATTAGTTTGTTTCTATACATATACATACATATATACTAAATAACAAGCTACACATTAGCGGTAATTGCCCGAAGGCCGTTGTTATTATCCACCACAAGTGTTTAAGCACTCAAGCAAAAAAAACATCTTATAGAAAAGTCTTCATTTCAAAAGTTGAGTTCATATCATGAGTTTGTTGGCAAATACAGGATCTATTTCAGGCAAATTATGTTAGAAGACATCAATGTCATCTGCCTGATGCAAACATTATTTAAGGACAGCCAATGCTTATCAACTGGGTTCAAGCTCGGATTGCCTGCAGCAGCCGCAACAGCTCAAGAGATTTCCATATAATTTCATACAAAACATACTGGCGCTTAGTGATCTCATATTTACATGACATTTGTTTTAAATACTATTGAACAATTAGATTAATTTATAGCATACTTATATTTTGTCGAGCCGCTATACGCTTATACCATCCACTACCTGTGCATGCTATATTGCGACATAACGTTGATTCATTATTACTTAAATGTTGTATACGTGTTATGCTGGCTCTATGGGAACTTACTACTTCTTCATCAGATATTTCACACTGTTCCCTAGTCTCCTGCAAGCGGTGACGAAAATGTGCCAAGTCATTTTCAAATTGTGACCCATACTGCCGGATTCGTCTCCAAAGTGTTTCATTAAAATATGTGTACAGCAGAACATCAGCTCGAGACCACTGATAAATGTTGTATCGAAATTCATCTGTAATATCATCACGATTAGTCCGTTCATTTTTTGATAAATACAATATATCATCAAAATCCCACCGAAAAATATGTTTCAATAACACAAGAGACTCATCGAAATATTCCGTTATTAGTACAAGGTCAAATTCTTTGTCTAACTGTCGTATTTTGTTGTTGACAAGAGTTTCATTCGCTGTTTTCTTTAGAGGTAGTCCTAAGTCTCTGATCTGGTTATTGCGCGATAATGCCTTGCCGCCATTTTCGAAAATTTCAGGGTTTTCATTGAAGGAGGAAATATTGCACATTACTGTTTCTTTAATATTAAAAAAGTTCATATGTGACTCTATTTGCTTAGCTGGTTCTCGTAAAATAGTAATGTATTTAGCATTGAATTTCATAAATGAATGAATTTGACGTCTTTTATAAATCACATGACCAGAAAGAATATTGTATTTATGTGACCTTTTACCCGACGTATTCCCAAGTGGCGGTAAGAATGTTGACGGACGGAGAGACGATTTTCTAATGTAACCATTTACGGGGTTGTTTTTCGAGAATACAAATGATAGACTTCGCTCGTAACCATAGCGACAAATTATACAGTGCAAAGAAGTACTCCCCGTTTTGTGCGTTTTGATATAAACAACATTTGCGACTGGAGATGCGTCAAACGATCGACGGGCGGCAAACAGTGAAAGTTTCGCTCTGTGGGACTGTGGCGCATAAACGTTTTTCTTCATCTCCAGAATGTACCATGTTACTGTAGTTATGGTGCACAATGTTAACACCTGAAATACAAAAAAATTACAAATTAATTTGCGAAAGAAATACGGCAAAGCCATGTTGGGTATTTGGTTATCTCGTAGTTAATCACATGACATTTTAACAAACCCAATGAATTTGTTTAATGTTGTCATTATTTAGTTCTAAACTTTTATGTATTTTTTAAATAGTTTCTATTAGACTTCAGTTTATAGCAATCTACGGTGTGTTATTTCCACTTTGCACAACCGGATACATCTTCTTGGTAAAATGAAGAATTTGATATATTTTATCCGCCTAGTACGTCTAGAGTCAAATGTTCAGACGTATAGTAAAACATGTAATTATTTGAACCATAATTTATCATACCAAACGTCTGTGAATCGGATATGGTAGTATCAAAACAAACACACATAGAACACATCCCAAATATAACAATGCAGAGTATATAAAACAATCTTACACAAATGGTAATGGAATTGTTAGATTGCGCAATCTAATTGACCGATTCCTGCCGAGTACGAGGTTACAACAATATAAACTTAGTTATAGCAATATGAACTTACTATGAAAAGTGCTGCCTTCTTTGTAACATTATGCCCATACATCGTGCACCAAATTTATTGCACAAATAACCACGCTTTCTGAAAGATAACCACAATTCAATAACATGTGTTAAAAGTCGTTTTATACATTGTGAATCGAATATTTATTATGTGATGTACTCATAATATGTATATATAGGGATTTATATATTTATTTCTTTACTTCAAATTTCTCCACGCCATTAATGCGTGTTTCTACTGTTACTGTAATGAATAGTTCTTATAACAAAGTAAATCCCGGCCGTTGTTCTACTGTTACCCCTTAATCCATCGGACCATAGCAGAGAAGCTACTGCGGACGATTTATTCATCAATAAATAGTACTGTGTGTAAGTATACTATGTTGGTATTAGCGAAACAAAATGTATGCAGATTTTATTATATAACCTAAAGAATGAAAATGTACAACCAATCAGTATAAATTACAAATATATGAAGAAAAACCTATTTGCATGAAAAAAAAAACAACACATAAAATAACGCAATACTGAGTACCTGGTATAAAATACAATTGATGTCTTATATTTCAGCGGCCCTTTCATTATATATTTAAATATATACATTATCTGACCAAGCCTTTACATTTACATATGTTTAAATAATACTAGTGCTGTGTGGTATCTGTCCGTATCGACAGTTACGATTTTGTGTACAAACGGCCAAATACTTTAAGAATGTAGTAGAAGTTAGTGCAATTGCAATTGCATAGCACATTTCTGAAGTAACATATTCTTTGAATCCCATCAAGTTATATGTTTTAGAAAGCTAATTTTTCAAATAATATTCAAATAATATGAAATAAATATTGCAACAAACAAATGAAACCGTGTAATCAGTGACCACTGTGCAAATAGAGAGGTGATATTTTCGAAGTAACCGAAATAAGTCCACACTGCAGAAATTATGTTCGCAGGACTTAGAGATACTATAATAGGTTTGAATTCAATTTCCCAGTTCAGTAGGTCTACTGTTGCGTAACCTAGATTTTTACCTCATAACACTTTTTAAAAACATTGTCAACGTTGCTTTGAAATATGATATCCCGTGTCAGAGTTCAGAAAAGAGAAGTTGTGTCATATTTTCTAAAGTGAAAGTGGTAGACAAACTATCTTTGTCAAAGTTCAACACCAGCTTTCAAAAAATACCTATGCCAAAAATCACCGTCGTGGACCAGCTGGGAATC